CCTAAGGGGTAAAGACTGTCTCTCCGAGCATGGGTGTCACAGGGGGAGGGGAAAGGGGCCAAGCATCACACAGTGGAGGGACACTCAGGAAGGGGACCTTCCCAAGGGCATGGAAAGCAAGCTGTGAGGCTACGGCGATTGTGCCTGAGCTAGTCCAGAACTGGGACTTGGAAATGAGGGGCGTGGCTGGGGCCGATGGCTGGCTGTAGGGCGAGGCCATCAGAGGAGAGTTCCTGCTGGACAGAGACACCCAAACAAGGCCCAACGAGCTAGAAGGACTAAGGCTGGGGGAGGGGGGGCGGGGGGAGACAGAAGTCACAGCAGAGACCTTAAGAAAGAACCAGAGGCAAGAGAGGAAAGATGTATTACCAAAACATCCTCCTTTTGGTGGAATGGTGGAGAGTTGGGGTGGGGGTGGGGGAGCTGCAGACCAGTGTGGAGACATGGAAAGGTGACGTTTCAGGGAAGCTCAAGATGAGAGGGCTGGAACCGGTGGGGATGCCCGCACACAGTGTGGGCTGGAAGAGGACGCTTTGACATGCTAATGAGTGCCTGGATCTGGGAGGCTGGGGATGGCAGCAGCGTGAAGGGTGGCCCCAGGACCTCTGAGGAGCTGGTGGGCTGATGCTGGGCTGAGGGAGGGGCTCCGAGTTGACGGAGAGCGCTCCCCAGGGGGGGTCTCCACACAGCCCGTGCACCTGGATGAGGCAGGTTCAGGTGAGGCGCAAAGGTGGAGAGCGGAGGGCGCCAGGCTTTCTACGGGGCTTCCCGGGCGGGACAGGGGCCATCAGGTGGGATTGATCCGGGCCCTCTGATAAGGCGAGAGTAGCCCCCAGGGGACCAGGGCACAATTCGCCTGCACACCCGCACTGGGTAATGACACTCCTGCAGGCACACAGCCCTGCTGCGCCACGTTGTGACAGGGACACATCTGCCAGTCCACAGGCACACTCATATCTGCACCCTTACCACTGATGGTGACCCAAAACTGTACCATTTCCCGCTGGCGGCAACACCCTGCACCAGGGCTCATCCCTGGTGAGCAGCAACACATAGATCTACGTTCTCACATGGGTATGCCGACATGTCCCAAGAGCCCTTGTGTCTGGCGCGGTCTATATAAACGGTGCCCTCCGTGGCTGTACGGGGCACAACCTAGACAGCTGTATGCGGCACCCTTTCCTTACACCCAAGCCCTCGCACAATGTCGTTGACATATTCTGCTCTAACTACAGCCCACTTAGCTCGAGGCCGTCTCGTGTCACTCCACACCAAGAGGGACACACCATACCTGCACTGCTGCACACTGATGATGGCACGCCTCCTCTGTGTGAGTCCACTGCCACACTCCCACCTGCACGGCCCCACACTGGCGGGCACTCACATGCACCACTGCACACCGACGGGGTTGCCTTCCCCTCACGTCATTCCACGTGGAATGTGGAAGTCAGACGGGGGCTCCCACATCACGCCCGAACAGCGATGGCACTGGCTGTCATCAGTGACAAGAGGGAAGCCACTCTCAGATGAGCAAGGTGGCCTGGAGCCCTTCTCTGAGCGCCACCCCCGCACTTCTGCTTCTGCCCCTGGCACTCGTCCAACCTCTCACACCAAGGCCAACTCTGTCCCTCCAGGCTCCAGCCAGAATTGGCAGGATGTGGAGCCAGTGTCTGGAGCGTTTGACTGCCCCCCCTGCACCCCCCAGCACAGCTCCGGCAAGGGCCAGGTCAGGCCCAGCCAGCAACCTCCAGATCGGAGCAGGAGCCTGGCACTCCCTGGACACCTCCCATCCCCCACAGGGCACCCGGGCTGCCCTTTGGACCGAGGCAACGCAGGGACGAATGAGCTGACCTTTGCACAGCTGCCCTGTGCAGGCTGTGCTCACTGGCAGCCACACTGTGGCCCATGACAGTTGTCCTTCCTCACGCCTCTCTCCTCTGTACTCACACAGAGAGCTCACATTAGCTCTCCTGATTGGCTTCCCAGCGAACATGGCAAGGCATGTACATATCGTTTTATGATCTATTCAAATCCGGCCCCTCCTACTGCCCCCAGGGCTCAAAAATAAAAGGGGAAAATTCAGCACCAGCCAGGATAAGACGGCTGAAGAGAGCCACATTCATATTAATATGTCACCAGGTGACTCTCAGAAGCTGTGTACAGAGCAGGCTGGGCGAGGACCGGGGCTGGGCCTGTCTGCACTGGGGGGTGGGGGTGGGGGGGATTAGAGACCAGATGAAGGGCGCGCAGGCAAACCACAGGCATGAGGACCCTGGTCTGGGTGTGAATTCATGGCAGGTTTCTTTTTTTTTTTTTTTCTTAGTGAGAAACTGGAGAACAGGGAACACTATAAATGTCAATGTAAAAAAATATCTGCAGAGCAAAAGTTACATTTCCATAGGCTGTGGGATGTGTCGGGAGAGAAGCAGCCCATCCGGCCGAAGGACCGCGGAGCTCAGTGTCGGGCGGCCTGGGCTGGAGCCCTGGCTCTACCAAACACTCACTTTCTCTCCTTGGGCCTCAGTTTCCCATCTTGAAAATAGAGGTTTGTGTAAATTCAGTGAGAAAAAATACAAATTATATAAAGCACCAAAGTTAGCCCCTGAGACGTAATGAAAGCTCGGGTAGTTGCTACAATTAGTGGTATTGTAATCATTAGGAAATGCTTACATTGAGCAACTTTTCTTCAGAAATAGCGGAGTACTTGGGAACCACGTCCGAGCCAGTAACACTGAATGGGGGAGCAAGTGTTCATCTCCCCACCACCTTTCTTAGATAGAAGCACCAACAGCCCAAGTGTCATGATTTACCCCCAGTTGTTCAGCAAGGTGAGCCACCAAAATGTGGCTGGGATGTCTTTCTATTCACCAGTAAGATTTTCTGCAGGTAGACATGGTTCGTGTAGCTCATGCAGGTTTTATAGACTCAGAGAAGCTTGGGTTCAAAGGCGGCTTCACCCGTCATTGAGACCATCCTCCTGCTCATTTGCCATCTTCCAGGGCCGGGCAGCCCACGCCCCACACACTGCAGTCCACGCTGTGGCGGGATGGCGCCTGTTGTTGGCAGGCTCTTCCTCTTAGAGCTTCTGCCTGCTTCCTTCCCCTTCTCCCCCCCTTGCCCTAATTCTACCTTCAGCAATGGATAGTCACCCAGTCAACAAGCACTTCCTGCACACCCACTCTGCTAGGCACCTTACTAAGTCCTGGAATATAAATGAAGCAGACCTGCCAGCCCTGCAGCGCTAACACACCCTTGGCGTTTTCCCCTCCAATCTCTCAGCCTCCTCTCCTTTCCTCTCTGATCTCCAGATCCCCACCATCAAACACCCCCTTTTCAAGCTTGGTAGATATGAGTTTGTCAAAGCCCATCTTAAAGAGTGGTGCCCAGAACTGAGCCTGGTATTTTCCTGATGCTGATGAAGTTGAATTTTTAGCCCAGCTTGGTCAACATCAATTGTGAGAAGCAATACCAGCTGCGGACAAGCTGTATTGAAAACCCAATTGTAACTAGAGTGCTGCCATTCGGGTCCCCTTTACTCAGCATGTTCTTGAAGAGCATGAAGAAAGAGGGAGAGAGGAGGACTGTAGCTCTTGAAATGACATGATGTGGGATCTCCCTGCCCAGAACTCCCCTCAGGCATTAGTGGCAAGTTGAAGTCACTCTGATCAAACCCCCTTCCCCAGCTCCCTCCCGTGCTGGCTGCCCTAGGAAAGGAAGAGAAATAAAGAAAGAGCATACTACACTGACGGCCCAACAGGGCACCAACAGGCAACTAAGCCACAAAGGAAGGGCCTGCCTTACACAAAGGCCCTTCAGCCTATAAGGGGAGGACAGAGATGAGCCTCGGAAGGTGACTCTCCAGGTGAGGAGGGTGGCCCACCAATGGCCTCTGACTTGTGGGGGGGTCCCCATCTTTGAGGCTCCTCCTGTGACCATGTGTGAAGGAATGTTCCCCCTTATTCGAACAAAACCACACCTTCTCCCTTTCCCAGATCCTGTCTCTGCATCTCTTGCTGCTCCCTCCTTGGAAGGAAGCCATCCCCTTACAGAGACAGAAGTCATCTCCACTCTGACATACACTGATTGATGCATAAATTCCTGCAAATCTTTCAAAGGTCTGGTGCAAGGCCCCTCCTCTCTGAAACCATTTTCCTACAGTCCAGGTTGGATTAAAGGAAGCCGCTGAGAGCCAAAAGATGGCAGGCGCTTCTGGGGAGGCTCATCAGGAGAGAGTAACAGAACAAAACAGTGATGGAGGGGAGGAGAAAGCCTGGGGTGGGAGCAGATGTTGCCCTGCCTCTTGGAGGTCCCTTTTCTTCTCTGGGCATAGGAGGGAAAGAAATGGCCTAGAATGAAGTTTGCCAGCAGATTCCTAGTCTTCACGAGACATCGGGTCTCAAAGGGATTGGTGGGTGACTCCCCTGAGGTCTGCGGGAATTTTGCAGCAGTCTTCTCCCTCTGGGTCCACAGCGGAGGGGTTCCTGACCCCTATGAGGGCCTGACCCGCATAGCCACCAATATTTCTCGAGTGTTCTTGCACCGTGGTGAAGGGCCAGCCGCAAAGACCTGACCATGATCCAGTCCTGGCACTCGGGGGCAGAAGAAGAGCAGACAGATGGAACAGGGCTACTGAAACTGGGGTGCGTCTAGGAATGGCAGGTGCCAAGGAGTGTGAACAAGGAAGACTTCCCCAAGGAAGTCCTTTGAGTTCTGCTTGAAGGAACCCTGCCTCCATCCCCTGCCCCCAGCTGTCCTCCAAAGCAGCAAGCCTGCGGTCTTCCAAGCTGTGGCGGGGACTTGGGTGGGAGTGTTTATCTGCGAGGGGAGGAAGACAGTGAGAGGTGCAGGAGGAAGGGGAGTGGAGAGAGAAAGGAGGGGAAGGGAAGGAGGGAGAATGGGAGAGGGAGATGGGAGACGGAGAAATCGAGAGAGGGAGAGAAGGGCGGGAGAGAGGGAGGGGGAAAGGGAAGGGAGGGAGAGAGGAAGGGGGAGAGAGAGAAGAGAGGGAGAGGGAGAGAGAGAGATTTGAATTTCCCATCTGGAAGGGGAGCGGCAGCACGTCAGGGCCTGGCCGAGGGGCGTGATTGGAGGGCGCTTCGGCAGCAGCCGCGGCCCCAGCTCGCCCGCGGAGTTACACGAGGCGGCGGCGGAGCTCAACTCGCCGGAGGCGGCTCAGACGCTTGCGGGGACGGCCAGGTCGGTGCCGGCCGCGGGCCGGGAGGGAGGAGCCGGGCTCCAGGCAACAGGGTCTCGGCTCTCGCGTCGAGGCCGCAGGGCAGCCCAGGAGGCTGGGGAGCCGGGTTTTCGGGGAGGCAGGCAGGGCTCCACGGCTGCCTGGGCGCGGGAGCGGGCGGCTGCGTGGCGGGGCCCCTGCCGTGGTGCTGAAAGGACAGCTCCGGGCGAGCGGGCGGGCTGGTGGCGGGGCCCCTGCCGTGGTGCTGAAAGGACAGCTCCGGGCGAGCGGGCGGCGGGGCCCCTGCCGTGGTGCTGAAAGGACAGCTCCGGGCGGGCTGGTGGAGGGGCCCCTGCCGTGGTGCTGAAAGGACAGCTCCGGGCGGGGGCCCCTGCCGTGGTGCTGAAAGGACAGCTCCGGGCGGGCTGGTGGAGGGGCCCCTGCCGTGGTGCTGAAAGGACAGCTCCGGGCGCGCGGGCGGGCGGAGGGGAGGGAGCAAACACGGGCAGGCGCGAGCCCGGCAGCCGCGGCGCCCTCGGTCAAAGCCTGAAACGGTCGGGCTCCGGGGGAGCCAGGACCGCTGAATGCGGCGGGAGACTCAAGTCTGAACCCAGAGAACAACTTCGGGCTCGCGGGGTGGGGGCGGGGGTGGGGGCCGGCGATCCGAGCTACTCTGGCTGGGGTTCACCCCGAGCCCGCCAGGGCCCCTCTTGGCCCCGGAGGCGGAGTCGCCCCCGAGGGGTACAGTTTGTGCCCCCAGAGTGAGTCAGAGGGCGAAGGGAGGGGGCGGGCAGACCGAAGGTGGAGGGGAGGAAAACCTGAACGTCGACTGGGGGGGCAAGGGGACTATTTGTCCTCTCCCCCAGAGGAGCCGAGGCTTGGGCAGCGCACGTCGGCTGCCTGGGGTCGCGGAGGGCCGTCTCTTCCCACTCCCGCTCTCGCCCGCCCCACTCCGCCCCCTCCCCCAGCAAAGTTTGGGACCAGGTTGGGTCTTGGGGTTGGAGCTATGTGTGTTGGGGGGAGGGGAGCTCTTAGTGGCCCACCGGGAGCTCCAGGGCAGAGCTGCTGGCTGTGTTGGTCTCCACGGGGGTCCGAGAGAGAGGGGCTCCTGGGTTCCTGCGCTCTTCTGGATTGGGTACTGGAAGCCCCCCGCCACTTCCGCTTTTCAGCTGGAACTGGTTCCCGGCCTCCTCCCATCCTCCCCTCCCCTTCCCCTCCCCCAGTGCTTCTCCCTTCCAGGGCCGTGGGCTGGGGGTGGGGTGAGGTGCAGAGTGGCAACCCCTGTCTCCGTCACCGCCATTAGCGTAGGGTCCCCTGCAAAAAGCAAGTGAGTGTTGAATTGAGTTGCAGTGAAATATAGCCCAGACTTGAGCCATAAAAGCAGAAAAACAGCCACAAGGACACCCACTGCAGATGCTGGAGTCCGCCTGTCAGATGCAGGGGGCCCAGTCCCCGAAAACCTCCTGGGGCTCAGATGGTCCAGTCTGAGCAGAGGTCTCCGCTGCCTCCGGGCTGGGAGGGAAAGCCGAAAGTGCGCCCTGGGCCCCCAGCACGCTGGCTGCTTGGAAACCTGGTGTCGGTACAGCAGCACCCCTCCCCCGACTCCCCCTGTGTCCCCTCCCCCAGCCCAGCATCCCCCCACCACCCTTCCCGCGCGGGGAGAGACCGAGGCTGCCCGCAGCACCGCTGGGGAGCGCCTCCTGGCGGCCCCACCGAAACCCTCAACCGCCCGCAACCTGGTGGCCCTCAGCATCCTACAGGCTTAGGGAGACTGTCTTACTCACACACGCTCATACAGAGGCTCTCAATGTCCAGGTTCAGAGTTAGGCAGGATCGACTTTGAACATGTACACTCTCGTACAACTCGCTGATACACTTTAAATTCAATCTGGCGAAGGGCTACCCTGTGCCGGGAGGCAGATTGGATTCTGGAGATGGGGGAAATGAAGAAGAGACAGCCCTTCCCTGAGAGGAGCCAAAGAGTGACCAGGAAGGGAAGCACACGGAGACGGAGCATGAGCTGAAGGCAGGCACACTGTCCTAGAAAGTGCCCTGGGTCTCAGAAGAGGAAGACGCTATCACATCTTGCCAGGGAGATTAGGGAGATCCCAGGGAGGGAGTGATGTTTGAGGGGGTTCTTTGAAAATGCTGCCGCTGATGACGACAGCTAATAAGTACTGAGCAGGCACTCTGGGTCAAGCATGGGGCTGAGCACTTTGTTTGCATGATCTCACTCAATGCTCACAACTAGCCTTGGGCTCGGGGCTTGTTGTCTCCATTGTACAGATGTGACAACATTGAGTCGCTTGCTCAAGGTCACTTAATAAGTGGTGGAGCCAGGATCTGAACTGGCACAGATGAGGTTAAGAGGTCCCAAGGCTATGGGAATAGCATGCACAGATGCCCAGGGGTTTTCAGAAAGAACATGTGTTGGGGTCTGGCTGAGGCAGAACCACATTACAAGGGCTTGGAAATGAGCGGCAAGGAAGGCAGGTGCAGGAAGGCCCAGGACTTGAAGGTCAGCACAAGGACTCTGATCAGTTTAACAAGCCCATGGGGAGCCATTGCAGGGTGTGTTTGCATGAGCAGATCTGCCCTCTAGAAAGATTAATCGGGCAGCCAGCGGAGGGTGGATGAGAGCTTGGAGGGAGACAGAGTTAGAGGTTATGCATAAATCCAGAACCTCTAGGCCCTGAACCCTGGCATTAGCAGCAGTAGGGGAGAGGAGGATGGGGGTGCAAGAAGCATTGTGAAGCTATGGTCTCCAGACATCTTCACCTGCACCCCATCCTTACTGTAGTCACCAATTCCTTGTGTGATCTGTTGTCCAGTGTCTACCTCCCCAGCCGACTGAACGCTGTGAGACCAAGTACTGGGACTCTCTGTTCCCTACCCAGCCCCAGAACAGTGTCTGGCAGAAAGTAGGTGCTCAAAGCATAGTTGTAGTATGAGTGAATGAATAAAGGAATGAATGAGGAATCTACTGACTTCAGAGTTTTCAGTTGAGGCAACTGGAACAAGGCATGCTGGAGGAAAAGATGCTTGGGTGGGGGAACCAAGGATGCAATCAGTTGATCTTTGGATAGATTGAATTTGAGATTATCCCTGTGATGGTGTCCAGCAGAGAGTCAAATGTGCATGTTGGTGGGGGAGGGAGAGACACAGATATCTGTTGCTAAAGAAGCCACTAGACCAAGAGAGGTGGATGAGATTCCCAAAGGAGACAGTGGGGGAGGGAGGCACACTGGGAGGGGGAGGAGGGGAGAATTGCTTGGAGAACAGATACACTTTAAAGGAAATGAAAGGAGTCAGCAAAGAGAGAGAAGACCTATCTGGGAAGCAGGATGAAGACCACAAGAGTGCTGTGTCATAGAATTCAGGAGGAGATTCAAGAAGGCTGAAAGAAAGCGGGAGGGAGGGAGGCACCATCAGCCTCTGGTGCTAGGAGGGAGGGGGAGGAGGTGGGAGGGAGGGGGAGGAGGTGGGAGGGAGGGGAGGAGGTGGGAGGGAGGGGGAGGAGGTGGGAGGGAGGGGGAGGAGGTGGGAGGGAGGGGGAGGAGGTGGGAGGGAGGGGGAGGAGGTGGGAGGGAGGGGAGGAGGTGGGCACCTGGATCTCGGGGGGAGGCCTCCTGACCAAGGCAGTTCCAGGGGTGCAGAGGCAGCAGGTCTCTGGTCCCCCAGAGCACACAACCTTGGGGAGACCCTTCATCACGAGGGCAGGCTTAAGGGAAACGGAGGGTTCAGAGAAGGAGTTTGAGAGGGGAGGGGATAAAAGCAAACTATGGAGAGGAGACAAGACTGAGAAAGAGGAAGCGATGAATGGATTGAGGAGGAGGTGTAAGGAGAGGAAAACCCGGGCACAGGCACCAGAGGGTCACCAGAGGGTGGGGCTTCTTCCCCAGGAGCCAGGAGGAGGGGGGCTCACAGGAGCTGCACTAGCAGGCCTTCATTGTTCTGATCATCGTAACTACCATTTACTGAGCACCCATCGTGTGCAAGAGCATCCCATAGATTATTTCTGAATTTTCAAGGTGATATTATAATCCTTATTTTATAGGGAAGACCTAGTATCACAGAGGTTAGGTCGATTACTAACTACCACACAGCTAAAAAGTGTGGGGTTCGGGATCCGAGTCAGGTGCCTGGCTCCAGAGTTCATGCCCTCACACAGCACCTCGTGAGTTTGGGGGCGGGGGGAGTCCCCTGCCAAGGGGGAGGGGCAGTGGGCCTCGGCCTCTTAGTTTGGGCCTTAAGAAATGGAGAACTGGTGAGGGGGTCTGGGCAGGGTGGACAAAAAACTGCTTGCAGTGGAGAGGAACTGTGAAGCAGGATTTGGGGGCAAACCAGGAAGCTCTGCTAAATAATCCCAGCAGGCTGAACAGGAGCCGCGTAAAGCAAGACAGAGGAGACAGGTCAGCCTTGGGGCAGGGTGGGGAGATGAAGCAATGCACCCAGAGGGGCCTGGGAGAGATGTTTGGTCATAGAGAGAAGGCATGTTGAGTTTGAGTGATATCCATGGGACACCCGGGGGAGGTGTCCTGGGGAATGTATTTTTTGACTTATTTATTTATTGCCTATTTCCCTTCGGGCGCATGCGCGTACACACACACACTTCAGAATGTAAGCTGCAGGAGGGCAAGGCTTTGTCTGTCTTGTTTGCTGGGATATCCCCAGTGCCTAACACTGGACTGGCATGGGGTAGGTGCCCAATGCATACTTGTTGCATGAATGAATGTAAGGATCTCAAGCTCAGATAAGATCTAGGTGTCGGCCGGGCGTGGTGGCTCACGCCTGTCATCCTAGCACTCTGGGAGGTCGAGGTGGGCAGAGGATTGCTCGAGGTCAGGAGTTCGAAATCAGCCTGAGCAAGAGCGAAACCCCGTCTCTACTAAAAATAGAAAGAAATTAATTGGCCAACTAATATATATAGAAAAAATTGGCCGGGCATGGTGGTGCGTGCCTGTAGTCCCAGCTACTGGGGAGGCTGAGGCAGGAGGATCGTTTGAGCCCAGGAGTTTGAGGTTGCTGTAAGCTAGGCTGACGCCACGGCACTCACTCTAGCCTGGACAACAAAGCGAGACTCTGTCTCAAAAAAAAAAAAAAAAGATCTAGGTGTCATCAGGGTCATTAAAGTCCCTAGAATGGATGAGTTCCCCCCAGGGAAAGGTTGGAGAGGAAAAAGAGCCAGGAGCTGAGGCCAGAGTCCTGGGAAACAAGCTTACATAAGAGTCAAGAGGAAGGAAAGGAGCCAGTAAAGGAGGGGGAGGGGAGGGGAGAAGAAAGGGAGTGGGAGGAGAGAACTGAGTCACAGACCCAAGAGAAGAGCTAGGTGTTAGGGCACTGTGGGGTGGTCAGCGGTTCACTGGAGAATGGGCGTGGAAGATGACCAGGCCCAGGCGAGAGACTTTCCAGAGTCACCAGCAAGCCAGGCATGAGGCTGGTACCACAGCCCAGGTGGCCTGCCAGCCAACTCCAAACATCTCAAATTAGAGTCAAGCATCCTCCGCCACCACCTGGTAATTCCTTGAGCTCTGAGTAAACACAAGGTGGGAACCCAAGAGTTCCTGAAATCACTTGATTATTAAGTTGTTCATTTCCTGTTCTTAGAAAAGAAACCTTTTCGCAACGTCTTAAACCATGTGAAAACATACTGAGGAAGCCGCACGACCTTTAAACTCAAAATCCTGGCTCAGGCGGGTGGGATTTTCTTGCATGTCCCGGAAAGCCTGTTCCTTCTGGGCTTGTCCCCAGAAGTATGAGCTCCTGGTACGCCCCAGGCATTTGACCAGTACCATCTCTTCTCCGTCAAACATCAGTAAAAGGGTGGACTTAATACTCCCCTATTTTGCAGGGAACAAACTGAAGCTTTCCCAGGGACCCACAGCCAGTTAGGGTGGGGGCTGAGGATTTTGAACCAGGTGTGCCTGGTGCCAAAAGCCCTGGGGATTTTTTTTTTTTTCCTACTACGTCATGACTTTCATGCCTCTCTCTCCCCAAGACAACTTATCGGGCGTTCCGATCACGTGGATAAGCTCTTGGGCCCAATATTATGAAATGATCTGTCTGCTGATATGATTTCTAATTTTGAGGAAAATCCATCAACAAAGAGCCAGTGACTTTGAGCTCAGCCCGGTTGCAATGTCCACCCTGGCTTTTCTGCCACTATTTTCCCAAGACCCCTTTTTCTTCCTAGCAAATCATAAAGCCCCTCAAGCCTTCATGTGTGGGATAAAAGAACTTGGGGAGCAGGCCCAGCGTTAGCCGGCCATCAAGGCACCCCACACTTTGGATAGCTCATGGGTATCCCCAAAAGGAGATTTGTTGCAGCTTTTTCTCTGTAAAAGAATCAGTGGAACTGAATGATTAATATAAAAAGAAACCCTCCAAGAGTTAGAACATTGGGGTTCAGACGCTCAAGGGTGTGGGGGAACACCATGAGGAGGAAGCCAAGGGTGAAGGCTCCCCCCACCCCAGCAGTGCCACTTTCACATGTTTTGCATATCGAGATTCCCATTAAGATTTTATTTGGAGAGAAGGGAAGGATACTAATATTAGCTGAATGCCCGCAAGGCCCATGCTGGACAAAGACAGTTTAAATCCCCAGAAGATTATAATGTCTGCAATGCCCCCATCTGCAATTCAAACTAGAAGTCAGCATCAAGCTATAAAACACAAAACTTACATGTATGTTGGAATGAAAACAACTGATTTCTCCACTGGTTGATTTTTGGAGTCTGGGTGTGTTCATCCAAGCTGGCTGTTCTCAGGTGTCCGGGCCCCTTCCCTGCGATGGCCAGCCTGGGTCCGACGGGTGCCGGCCAGGCTGGATCTGCTCCAGTCCCCACCGGAGCCCTGGGCAAGGTGGCATTGCCTCTTCTCTCTTACAGAAGAGGAAATTGGGGACTCGAGGAGGTTCTGTACTTTGCCGAAGGTCACATGACAAATAAGAGTGAGGGTGGCATTAGAACCCAGTTCTGCCTGACTCCAAGTTCCAGGCTCTTTCCAAGACTCCTGGCTTGAGTCAAATTCAAACAATATGATCAAGATGAAGGTTTTTAATTAGGGATCAAACAGCTCTAGGCCGGGCGTGGTGGCTCATGCCTGTAATCCTAGCACTCTTGGTAGGCTGAGGATCTCTCAAGGTCAGGAGTTCGAGACCAGCCTGAGCAAGAGGGAGACCCCGTCTCTACTAAAAGTAGAAAGAAATTAATTGGCCAACTAAAAATATATAGACAAAATTAGCTTGGCATGATGGCGCATGCCTGTAGTCCCAGCTACTCGGGAGGCTGAGGCAGGAGGATCGCCTGAGCCCAGGAGTTGGAGGTTGCTGTGAGCTAGGCTGACACCATGGCACTCACTCTAGCCTGGGCAACAGAGTGAGATTCTGTCTCAAAAACAAACAAACAGAAAAAAAAGCAAACAGCTCTAGAAAGAAGCTGTTTGGCAGCTCAAACGGCTTTCCAGAACCAGGAGAGAGCGCTTTTCCGTCTCTGCTTCCCCAGGCTAGCAGGCGCAGAGTGGGCCTCAGCTGAGCCGGGCTCTGAACCAGGGTGAGGCCTCTGTCGGACGCGCGCCAGCTCGCCCGTGCAGGGCTGCCCCGGCTGAGCCCCGCTCCTCTCTTGCAGGTCGGCACCTCTGCCTGCGCCAGGCCAGCCAGGAGTGCTGCGTGAACGCACAGGGGCCGGGGGCTAGCGCTCGCCGAGCAGCCGCGCCATGGACTTCGTCATGAAGCAGGCCCTGGGAGGTGAGGCCCGCGCCCCGCGCCCCGCGCCCCGCGTCCCCGCGCCCCGCGCCCCGCGCCCCGCGCCCCTGCCCGCTCCCGCCCCGCCCCGCTGACCCTGCCCTGTCCCCGTAGGGGCCACCAAGGACATGGGGAAGATGCTGGGGGGAGAGGAGGAGAAGGACCCCGACGCGCAGAAGAAGGAGGAGGAGCGGCAGGAGGCGCTGCGGCAGCAGGAGGAGGAGCGCAAGGCCAAGCACGCGCGCATGGAGGCCGAGCGCGAGAAGGTCCGGCAGCAGATCCGCGACAAGGTCAGCGCCCTCCGAACCCAGCCCTCAGCCCCCATCCCAGCTCCCGCTGAGCCTCCCTCTTCCTGCCCGAAAACCGGGCCTCGGAAACCCCCTTAAGACACCTTATGGGGACTAAGTAAGGGAGCGCGCGTGGCGCGAGCGCCCACGACCTGGGACCTGAGACACTCGGGACCAGGGCGTGCAGCGCTCAGGAGTGGGCTGTCGGGAACCGCCGCTGCGCCCTGAGTGAGCGCCCGCGCCCCCGAGGGTGCCACCCGGCCTGGCCTTCGGTGCCACCGGTGCGGGTCCGGCCACGGGGCTGTGGTAGTCGCCCCATTATGCCCTATTACGCCCCATTACCAGCCCTGCGAGCTACGACTGGTCTGCCATCCGTGGTGTTCTTCCTACATAGCCCACGGTAAATCAAGGCCGTAAGTGGTTCAAGTCAAGTTTTGTCACCAAAATTTGGCTCCGAATATTTGGGAACGCTTCAGATCCTTGGGGATTTCAAAGGAAGTTGTCGTGGGCCCCTTGAAGGGAAGGCATCCTCGTCCCCAGCTCATGGGGGGAGGCAACTGAGGCTCCTGGGAAGCTCTCACGGCGCCAGGGCCAGGCCCACAAGGCTGGAGGCCCGGAGCCCCCCGGCCGCCTCCACACTCATTCCTGCCCTCGTCTTCCCAGTATGGGCTGAAGAAGAAGGAGGAGAAGGAGGCGGAGGAGAAGGCGGCCCTGGAGCAGCCCTGCGAGGGCAGCCTGACCCGGCCCAAGAAGGCCATCCCTGCAGGCTGCGGCGACGAGGAGGAGGAGGAGGAAGAGAGCATCCTGGACACCGTGCTCAAGTACCTGCCCGGGCCCCTGCAGGACATGTTCAAGAAGTAACCGGCCTCCTGCCCCAGCCCCACTCCACCTGTTACTATTTTTTCTTTTGTTCTTTCTTTTCTTTTTATTAAGTTAAGTCTCCATTCTGAAGGGGAAAACCTCAGTTGGCCTCTGCCCCCCTTCCCTGGCCAGGGGCTCCTCCCCCTCAGCACCCCCCCACACAGACACCCTCATCCCGGGGTTCACAGCCCCACCCCACTCCCAAGCAGCTTGAAAAAGGGAAAGTGGCTTTTCCTCTGCAGGGGGGGGGTCCAACCCAGGGCCAAAGGCTCTGGGGGCCCCTTAGGAAGCCTAAGGTCTGTGCTCGTGTGGTGACCCCCATACATTCCTTCATGCTCCCCACTGCCAGGGGGACCACTGTCCCCGGCCAGCCAAAGTAATGATACATTCCAGCCCTGCCCAGCATGCTGACCTTTGGCCTCTGACCCCCAGGTCAGGGCAGGGGCACTGAGTAGCCTGGCTCTTAAGAAGGAAGTCAGGGTAAGTCTGCCCCATGAGGGCCCAGCCTGAGAGGTCCTGGGTCCTGGGCAGCTGAGGTCTGGGCAGGAGGCTGGGACATCCCTTCTTCCTCTCCTTGGTGACACACACGGCCCGGGGGCACCCCCTGCCCCAGCCCCCACCGAGATGGCATGGCCCCTGCCAAGCGTGTCCCTCCAAATGGATCTTCTTCGGACTTTAGCTCATCTGTGGAGGAGCCCAAGGGCGGGGCAGGCCCTTGTTCCCCCACCCAACACCTTCCTTGGGTCCTGGGGCCCCACTGCCAGGCTGGGCCCGGCTTGCCCAGCCAAGGGGCTGTCCAGGCCTCCAGAGAACACTTGGAGCCATCGGGCAGCAACGGTCTACGCCACGGGGCCTCCCACTGGTGTGGCCACGCTGCCCCCATTCCTATCCACCCCTCTTCCTCACCCTGTCCTGTCCATGTGCTTCCAGGGCCCCCATGGTCCCCAGGAGGGTCCTTCCTGGCCACAGCCCCAAGCCATTGGGGAGGAGCCACTTCCCACTTAGACCCACTTGGTCCATCCGTCTCACGGGCCAAGAACAAACTCTCCTCTGGGATGTAGGGACTGGCGTTCACCCTCCCCCAAGTCACCAAGGCTTCCTCTCAAGCAGTTGTGTGAGGATGCGGTGGGGGCCGAGCAAATGAGGGAGGGAAGTGTGTGTGTGTCCACGCATGCGTGATCGTGCACGGCGGAGACTGCATCCGTGATTGTGCGTCCAGAGATTCTGTGCATGTGCGGGTGGTTAGAATGTGTATGCATGTCTTGAGATTGTGTGTCCCAAGTCAGCATAGCTGTGACTTGCGCCTGTTTGAGGTGGTGTATTTGAGTCGAGATTGTGTCACGTGTGTGTGTGTGTGCGCTAGCGGTCTTATCTGCGTTTAGAGATTGCATGTGTTATTTTGTTGATGCATGTGTTGTCACAACGGTGTGTGTGTGTCAGAAGTGATGGGTGTGTGTTAGGCGTCAGGTGGTGCAGAAGCGTGTGTTGGAGAGGCTTGTGAGATGTGCCGAGGCCGCTGTGTGTGTGTGAGTGTGTGTGAGTGTGTGTGAATGTGTGTATGTGAATGTGTGTGTATGTGAGTGTGTATATGTGTGAGTGTGTGTGTATGTGAGTGTGTGTGTGTGAGTGTATGTGTGTGTATGTGTGTGTGAGTGTGTGTGAGTGTATGTGTATGTGTGTGTATGTGAGTGTGTGTGAGTGTGTGAGTGTATGTGTGTGTGTGAGTGTGTGAGTATGTGTGAGTATATGTGTGTGTGTGTGTATGTGTGTGTGTGTGTGTATGTGTGTGTGTGTGTGTGTGTGAGTGTGTGTGTGAGTGTGTGTGTATGTGTGTGAGTGTGTGTGAGTGTGTATGTGAGTGTGTATGTGAGTGTATATGTGTGTATGTGAGTGTGTGTATGTGTGTGTGAGTGTGTGAGTGTGTGTGAGTGTGAGTGTGTGTGAGTGTGTGTGTGAGTGTGTGTGTGTATGTGTGTGTGTGTGTGTGAGTGTGTGTATGTGTATGTGTGTGTGTGTGTATGTGTGTGAGTGTGTGTGTGTGAGTGTATGTGTGTGTGAGTGTATGCGTGTGGGTGTGTGTGTGTGAGTGTGTGTGTATGTGTGTGTGAGTGTGTGTGTGAGTGTGTGTGTGAAGAGGCAGTTGTGTGCATGGACATGTGCTTGGGGAGAAAGAACGCAGGTAAGATGCCCCTGGCCAGCCCTGAGGCCATCGGTCCCAGGTGGCCACATCCGACAGGAGACCTTGTCCTTGGCCTCGTCCTACAGGACCTTGACCTTGTCCTACAGTCCTCCTGCCCTTGGGGGGCTCTTGCCTGCGGTCCTCAGAACCCCACTGGGACACACCCAGGCAGTGCCCCCGGAAGCCATGCTGGCCCTCACCAGGGCCTGTCCCCAAAGCAGGGGCCAGGGAGGGGGCGCCTTGCCTGCCCTGAAGCCCCTCCCCGTCAGCCCCACTTGCGTCCTGCGGGTTTTCCATTTTAGTGGATTTATGCTTTTATTTCAGAGAGAGACACATGTCTCCTCTGTCCGTTTCCAATAGTTAAAGCCATATCAGTTAGACTGCAATACTTTAAAGACGAGACAAAACCACCCATATGTTTAGGGAACCAGAAAAGCCCCTGCTCTGTCCCTTCTCTGGGGAGCCGGACCTCAGCCGCCCCAGCTCCCCAGGCTGCCCTCCTCCCCTGCCCGCCCCCCCTGTGCCCGTGTTGGCCCCGGGGGCCTGTGTCTGAGTCCGTGATGGGGAGCTGCCTCGCACCCCCGTTGTCTGCTCGTCTGTCTGTGTCCGTCGTCCTGGGCAGGATGGTCACTCTCGAGAGCCTCGGGGTCCTGGGCCGAAGACAGGCAGGGCCCAACCCAGGGGCCCCAGGCCTCCCCACCCCTGTGGGTGCACCTTGCTTGGACATGGGGTGGAAGCCACGTGCTCAGAGGTCTCCCCCTTGGCAGGGGCCCTCGAACCTTAAAGGTGATGCCAGGAGCGTGCCCGGCGGGCAGCCGCGACCAAGGCCGGCGAGCTTCAGATGGGCAAGGGCACCCAGCCATGCCAGGTAGCCAGGGGTCACCCAGAGTAGGCCCCACCCCAGGGCCCTCCAGGCTGGCGTCTGGACCCCTCCACTCTGCTCCATGGCAGCGGGGCTTGAGGTCTCCCTGGAGGTGGAGGCAGAGGGAGAATCTCTGCCCAGCGCATACCTGGTTCCAGCCGCTGCTGAGAGATCACTGTTAGGTCCGGGGGGACATAGCGACTACTGTTTCTAACGCAGACCTGACCGTGGGGGCCGCTGACGTAGGCCCCAGGGGAAGTCGGCATCCAGCCTTGGGCGGCGTGTGCACATGGGCGGGAGGCCACTGAGGCTCGGGTGCCCAGGTGCACCTCCAGCGAGACGGGAAAAGGCCTCTCTGTGCTGGGCACGGCCTCCTCTGCGGGCCCAAAGCCGGGAGGACACAGACGGTGTCCTGAACTGCAGAGCCGTGCGGGTGGGGAGGCCCCCCCGGGTGTGTGGCGAGAGAGGGTGGGGAGGGAGAGAAGTGTAGCCGGCGCCCCTCCCAGGCAGGGCGGCTGGTGGGCAGAGCAGCCCCACAGGCTCCCGGCCGGAGTCACACGGAGCAGACTCTCGGGGGCCCCCAGAGCCCCTGCACCCGGCTGGCAGGGCCGCTCTCCCCTCACCCTGCCTGCTCCGTCCCAGGGCTCCTGGCAGTGCAGCAGGGCTGGGGCGACGGGCCCAGATGGGGGAGCTCTCCCTGGCCTGGGGCTTGCCTCCCACCGGCTGTCCCTGCCCCAGTCCCCACTCCTGTGCCCACCCCTCACTGGGGAGGGAACGGAGGTGCTCGTGCCGGCCCTGGGCGCGCCGTGGGGCGTCCTGGCGAGACCCGGGTGAGACCGACCATCCTGCCCCGCGGGGGGGACCCCTCTCCCACATCCGTGCTGTGTCCTCGTTGCTCTGCTTCCTTTAAATGTGTCAGTGCCTGGGGGGAGGGGAGGGGCACCCCTTCATGCCCCCCCGAACCTGACCAAAAGCCATGGCTGTTGCTCCCCCTTTGTATGACGCAAATGCTGAGATGTACGAAACCAACCGTGACAACAAAGAAAAAGACCTTGTACAGCAGCTCTCCGCCTGTCTGTCCTCTCTGTCCGTCGGCACCGCCAGGCCTGGGCAGGCCCCGGCTCACCGGTTGGGGGGGCACGCCCCACAGAGCTCGGGAGACCCCAGATGATCTCCGGTCTTGCTCCGGCCTCGGGCCGGGACCCTGGGAATGACTCCAGAAATCAGCGGTGGCCAGAGGCAGGGGTTCTAGGATCGCTCTACGTCTCTGCCTTCCAAAACCAAGTCCCGGCCCCCAGGGGCGGCAGTGCAGGCCGACTCCCACCCCCGTCTCTGGCCACCCTCCGCCCGAGCTCCTCGGGGCGCGGAGTCCTGAGGATGCCCCCGGGTCACGCAGGCGGGCATCCGCCCATCCGCTGCTCACTCCCCGAGCACTGACGGAGGTTTGGGCACAGAGGGGGCAGCACTCAGCTTTCCTCCTGGACGCAGGCCCTGCTGAGGACAGGTCAGGACCATTCCCCCTCCAGCCCGCACCCCTGCCTGCCTTACGTTAGCCCCGTCTCTCTGCCCTTGGCCGGGCTCTTCCCATCACGCCAGCCCCCACCCCTTTCCTTCCATGCCTCCCCGGACGACCCCCCCTCGAGGCTCTTCTGACATGCAAGGCTCGCCATGCCACACTCCCCGCCCGGCACCCTCCCGTGGCCTGGCACGGCATCTGCCCACAGGTGACACCCCAGTTCTCAAAACGGCCCCGTGTGACATGGTGCCCGCCTGCTGGGCAGATGCACGCACCCCAGCGCCCACCCACGCACCGTGCTGTCTGGTGTTCGCACATTCTGTCCCCTCTGCCTGGGACCGATGGTGCCCTGCCCCTCCTTGGTGTGCTCCTGAAGCTCCCGCTCAAACGTCTCCTCCTCCGCTGCGAAGCCCACCCTGATATGACCTTTGTCCCCTGCCCAGAGCAGAGTTGTCTGCTGCTGCTGCACTCACGACAGAGATCCTCAGTCTCGGAGTGCAGACGGCGCTGGGTGTGCTGACGGGCTCCGCCACCCAGCAGGATGGT